TTTCTTAAAAAAAAAATTTAACAAATTTATTTTTCTCTATGCCTAACCAATTTTTTCTTACAGGCCTTTTAGCTTTACAAAATTTTTTTGTTTGTTTTTATGAGCTCATTGCAGCTAATATGCAAGAGAGTGTTTGTCTGTGAGCAGGTTAGGCTACCGGCAACACCTTTTGTTTTATATTCAAAACAATAGAGCAGGCTGCTCGGCTGTACAAAGCACTAAAGTACAATAGATCCAACTATCTATGCATTAATATATGAGCACATATATATTAACATACTTACATAAATATTCATATATATTCATATATATTTATGTGCGTCCTCAGAGCATTTGTTTGCATTTGCAGCCATTATTTTGTATAACTTTCGCTTTTGTTATTAAACGCCGGTAGGTGCAGGCAGGTGTACTCGCAGCCGCCTATTTCAGCTTTGAGTTACTGTACTTTATTACCTCTTCCTACCGGCGCACGCACGCACATAAATAAATGAATCCATTCGCACGATTACCACGCTGCCACTGAAAGCAGTGTGTTTTGCTTTATCTAGCAGTAACGATTGTCTGCTCAGCAGTGAGATATATAGCTGTCATTTTAAAATATGCTCTTGGCAGTGCTGTTTACACTCACTCCCTTACCGCTTATGCCATTACCAGGATGTACGCCACTCGAACTGATTTCACATTTAGTCACTGATTGTGGGTGTGTGCTTGTGCGCTTCAGCTTTTCTATGCGTTTAGCTTAATTTTGCGTAATTTATATTTTATGCCTTTAAGTATCTTTCCAACAAGATGTTACATGATTTATTGTTGGCTTTGTTATTGCGTTTACTGCTGTTGCTTTGGCCGTTTTTATTCATGCCTACTGCCACTGCGTTTTGTGTACATGCATTGTTATTGTTATTATTCTTGTTGTTTGCCTGTTATTGCCAGCAAGCAGGTCTATGCAAAAAGGGGAAGGTGGCAAATATGATAAAGTGGATATAATCAAGTTTAATTTACTTGCTCGACGCTTTGCTGCTGCAGGAGGTAAATAAGCTTACAATTTGCTTGTCTTTCCAGTTCCGCAGCGTTGCATGTGTCCTTTACGTAATTGTATGTGTATCTAGTTAGCGTGAATGTATTTAGTAGCACAGAGAGTTGTTTGTTAACTCCATTAATTTTAATAGCCGAAAGCAGTATGCAACGTGGCAAGTTTACCTGGAGGCAATAACCGAAATTAGTAGCAATAGACCTGCGTTTAATTTAATGAATGACTGTCATAGACTTTAAATACGAAATCGAAACTGAAAGTTGAAGATTTGGCTGTTTCAAGCTCTTCGTTTCATAAATATCTTAGGAAGTTCACTTTGGTATACCAATCAATTTATTATCAACATTGCTTTGGCTCTATCGATAAAACGTAGTTAGTACTCTTCCAAAAACTAAAGCTGCAGAAAGTTGTCTAAAGCAATTTTTTGTTAGAGTTCAACCAATATTTTTATTTGATTTTTGTGATAAAGTCGGTCCTGGCAGGTCTTTTTTGGATTAAAGTCTTAAAGTAAAACTGAAGTGAATATCTTTTTAGGCAAAAATGTTTCTTCATTTGTCTCTAGACTCATTTAATAGACATATGTATGTAGATGCCTACTTTATGTAATATTTTAATGGCAAGGCTGGAACACTTGAAGTTTTTTAATTTATTATTGTATATTTTTATAAACTTTTATACAAACAAGACCAAAAAAATCGATCAAATGTCTAAAAACATCAGGCGAGGTTTTAATGCAATAATAAAAAATGAAAGCTCAAAATTATTAAATAATATGTAATTAGAACTAATATCTATTATTTTCATTTTTATTTGGCCTAAATTAATTTTGATTTTAATTTTAATTTTATTTTTAATTTTAGTTTTAATTTTAGTTTTAATTTTAATTTAAATATCGATTTTGATTTT